TTTTCTATTATATAGAACATTTATTTTTTTATTGTCTGTTTGCACCGTGGGTCTGTGTTGTATGTCGTGCATGTATAGCATATTTGACAATAAAGCTGGCTTTTGACTAAACAGAACATACATTTATTACCGAAATTTCTTCCCCCAGTTCAATATAATTCCCATAAATCTTTAATTAAGTGCCCCAAGGGAAGCATTTTCTTTTACCGTCATTAGATAAGTTTAATGTGGTTTTAATTAATGGAACAAAACAATCTTGATTTTTAACATATTTTATTGATTTATATGAAAACAGCACATTAACATTTGTGTATAGATTCAGAGTAGTAGTAGTAGTAGTAGTACTATATCCTACTTCAAAGTATTGCCTAAGCTGTGTCTACTTGACTACTTCCAGGCCATACTTTGTGCAGTGAGTGAGGAAAAGCAACAAATACAATTATCCTAAAACCAACAAACAGCACATAGTCAACCTTTTGACTACAATATTTAAGCAGAATCAACTAAATGAGGACTGCACAGTTAATTAAAATATTAGTAAAATCACATTATGGCTAAGTGCAATACCAAAGAAAACATTTAGTGAAGACCCCAAAAAAAGTTTTTTAGTTAAAATGAAAATTGTGATAAAACAATCATTCCCACTAATCGTGAATTATATTGCAATAGTAAATCAAATATAGTAATAAAATATGTCAAAATACTCACAATATGTTTTTTTTTAATCATACTGTGCAGCCCTAAACTAAATAATATACAAAATAGTAAAAAATTAAAGGCACAATTACAGAGCATAAAGGCTTTGCATTCTTTTGATTCTTAATATGATTAAAATAACTCAAAATGTATCTGAAGATTACAAATAACTAACATAATAACCCCAAGCCACTTAATTACATTCACACATAACTTTTATGTTTTCTTTTCAGAGTTTCCTCAAGTACAATGATACATCAAGAGAGCGGCACTTTTATCAATAATGACCACCACCATCAGCCATGCTCTCAGTTATTTTGGTATCATTTTATATTTTTTACTTTGTGTCAGTGGTAAAGTCACAAAAGGCTGGTTAATGGTTTTCTCCAGTTAAAGCACATCTAAAAAAAAAGTTTGGTCTTCTGCGGATCAGTGTTAGATTTTCACGAATCTCATCTCTAACTTGTGCATCATGCAGCTGCATGGCTTTCAATAACCACATTACACATGTCCTGGCTTTTTTTTTTCACTCGCTGCATGCATGTTTCTGGGGCTTTTTTATGCAGGTGACAGGACAGGAGAAGATAGACAGGAAAGAGAGGAGAGAGAGAGAGAGAGAGAGAGAGGCAGGATAACATGCACCTAAGGGCCTACATTGGGTGCGCACCCAGGTGAGCTACGCATGTATGCATGTTTTAAAGTTGTTTTTAAAGTTCTGACATATTATTTTGACATTAGTCCTTTATGCCTTAAGTCAGTTTCATCATTTCATTGTTTTTGTGAAGGTTTTGACAATGTAAATGTAGTCTTATACATTATTTTAGCATATTTTATGTCCCATTTAACATCTTTATCTATGTATTTTTTTTGTCCTGTACATCTCTTCTAATTGGCTGATATTAATCTTTTATTTGATGTTCTACATAGCATTTAAAGTAATCCTTGTGTGACAGGTAACATGTTGTTGACTTTATCTTGCTTTTAATTAACGTTTAACTAGAAAATTGATTATTCCTGTTTTCAATCAACAACCAATTGCTCTGCAGTACACTGGCGCATCATGAGGTGTGTACGGCTATTTTTCCTGGAGCCATAGTCATTGGCGTAGCATTGAGCCCAGGGCCCAAAATAGGATACATCGTGTCCTCAAACTTGTGTGTAAAAGTGACAAGGTGCTTCGCTGTTCCCCCATCCCAAAACGACACCTCTCCCTTATCTATGTTTAGCTTGACGCGGATCCTTTCGGGACGCTGCTCCACCTGCAGCACCGTACGCTCAGGTGTTGAGGCGGTGTACTCCCCTTTGCTCAGTCCTATGGACCACACACCGCGGTTTGTAGAGAGTGTGAACTTCTTTTTACGGGCCACTGTCGATTTGCACACTCCCACAATCCACTTGGGGTTGTCACCAACAACGACGTCCCACCTGTGTTTCCCAGAGTTGTAACCTTCGGCGCCGAGGACAAAGACACAGGGATCAAAACGCTCCGGGTTGTCAGGGACGGTCAGCCGCTCTGAGCTTTCCTTCACAGCGGTCAGGTCAGCATTCAAGGACAGCCATGGAGAGGCTGTGTTGGGGTTCAACACCACTGGATCTGCACACAGGAAGCCACAAGATTTTAATTATGTTATATCGCTAACATTTGGTGAATATACTAACAAATGTTTGAAGGCTGAAGAAGGCTGGTATTCTTTGCCAATATTCGAGTTCCCCCAGGTCAGTCCCAGCTCCCATGCCGTAATTTACTTACTATATTTGACATGGGCCTGCATGTTCTTCCAGATCTTGAAGCTCAGAGCACCAACATGCTTTCCCATATCCAAAAGAGAGTTGTAAGAAAGGGCAGGGTCTGTATTAGTCCACTGGGCTCTAAAGCAAAGGTGGCAACATGTGTAAGTTAACAGGAGACATTTGTAAATTGGCAAAACAGCAGAAACCTTCAAAACCGAGATCTTCATAAGAGCTGAATAACAAAAATGTGCAACTATGCTGTGCAAAAATGTATTTGAAATATCCAACAACGGTGCAATATACTGTAAATATACGGTGAAATGTACTTTCCAGTCTCCTTCACAGTGGATATTTACACAATTTGTGTGATTGCTCCAGTGAGTTTTGCAGTTACTTACTTTCTTTTTAAATTCTGGAAATTCTAAAACATAAAAGAGAGTGAGAACTGAGATTAGTTTAATGCCATTTTTTTTGGTTAAAAATGCTTAAAAGGACCAGTGTGTAGGATTTAGTGGCATCTGGCGGTGAAGTTGCAGCTGAAACATACCAATGAATATTATATTCCACTTCTGCCAATAGATCCTTTTACACACTGAACCTTTAAACATCAGCGACAAAACAAGGTGCAGGCTAATAAGTTTTATACGTGTGTGGACGAGCTGCCTTCTCTTACCCGCAGCAGGGGCAGATCGTCATTGTCCATCTCATTCTTGATGGTCTCAATGAGCTCGTTCAGAGCAGTAACATTGTTGTTTGTGCTGGTAATGAGCTCCTGTATGGCAGCAATCTTCTCCTCCTCCTCCGCAGCCAGGGCTTTCAGACGCAGAGCTTCTTCAGTGACAAGCGCCTCGTGGAGCCTCTTGAACTCCACCTTGATCTGCTTCTCCGCCTGCCCCGCTTGATACTGTGTTAAGCAAGAGAAGAGCGTGTATGAAATCGAATCTGTGCAGTCTGTAGTGTGCTGTATGTCAGCGAGACGCGACTGTAGCTTTACCTTGATGTACTCCACTGCGTTGCTGAGTTTAAGTGTCGTTTTCTTGTATAACTCCACTTTCTTTTCAAAAATCTGGACTTTGAAGTTCAGCTCCCTCTGCAGAGTGAAAAAGCAGAACATGAGGTAACCAAAACCTGTATTCCATATCCACACCGGGGACTTGCTGGGACACATTAATGGAATTGAGCCATGAGCTGCATTCATGTTGTCATTCTCCTATGTTTAACACTGTAATTCAACAGTTATTCTAATTAAACCCATGATACCAGAGGTCTGTTGCCTGTTGACCTGCACTGACCCAGGATGTGGTTGTTCACTGTGATAGGAAAGTGGGAGCAAAGCAAGAAGAAGTTGCTATTAGCTGTAGTGATGAGCCCAACAGAGAGAATGTACTGTAAGTAGAATATGAAGTAGGATTAGAATTGATCTGATTGATTGAAATTCAGTGAGAAAATTAGGCAGAGGTCTCATGTTAGGCAAGTTGAGAGGGGGCAGGGATTGTGGGATATCTCCCATAATTCAAATATATGTTGGAAATTAAAGTACAACTAGTATTTTAATCCTATTGTCACATTCAAATGTTTTTGTCTTAAGGAAATAAATACTCTGATGAGACGGCAACAGGTCAGGGCTCTTTACCTTGCACATTGGGGCTCCATCTTTGAGCGAAAAGAGCCTGTGCGTGCTGTGCAGACTGACACAGTCCACACACACAGGCTCCTCGTCCTTCTCACAGTAGAGCTCCAGCGGCTTATAGTGCAGGTTGCAGGTGTCCTCACTGGGACGCTTCGTGTTGGGCCTGAAGGTTGAGTGTTTGAGGAAGGTCTCACACGCGTCGCTGAGCGCACGGTTGGAGATATCCTGTCCTCTCTCGAACTCCACCCTGCACAAGGGACACTTCTTGTTGAAATCCAAACTTCTCTGCAGACAGTCCCGACAGAAGCTGTGGGAACACGGCAGCAGCACGGGGTCCCGGAAGATGCCCTGACACACGGGGCAGGTCAGGTCCTGCTGGAGGGGCAAAGCCTCCTCCGGCATTTCTTCATCTATACTTTCAGCCATGGCTTACAGGCCCTCTTCGGTTAACTTTCGTTTTTGGCAGACCCTCAAACCGACGGGTACACACGCACAAATACGCACTCGTCTGCCTCTGTGTGGTATGTCAAGGCTTCAGCTCTTTACTTACGGTTTAAAAACAACGAATAAATAGTATCGTGAACAGGTTTACAGAGTAGAAAAGCCACAAAACTGTACGACTGACGCCTCTTCCGTGTTTCAGCGACTGGCAGCAAAATTGGAGCGTTCATACAACACTGCCCTCTGCTGGAGCTGGGAACAGGAAGCATTATGATCAGTTTCTGCTGGGGTTTATTTCTTTTAATTTATTTTTTATTATTTCAAAGTCATCTTTATTGCAAAAAGGGGGTTACAATTCAGATGTGACTTACAGAGATGTATATATGTAACAGTATACAAACATATAAAACAGTTGTCGGAGCCAGAAATCTAATTAATATAATGTACAACTTCATGGAGAAAAGGTACAAAATTAGGTTTTTTACTGTTGAATTTACATTTATGAATGTGGAATTTTGCCAACAGAATTAATAAATTTATAATGAAGTACATATTTTCTTTACTTTGACTTCTATAAAAGCAAAATACCACATTCTCCC